CCCCCTCTAAAAATCGCACTGTACACATACAAAATCACCACCTCATAAATTAGTTATGCTTTCTCATGAGATTGGGTTGGTTTGCCCCTAGTTATTTTAGGAATTAGCAGGGAAGAAGTGGTTTAGAAATATATGTGCTTTGATGATGTGTAAATGTGATTTTTGAGGGCAATATTTTGAATATATTAATATTCTATCTTAAATTATCTTGACCATCTCCCATTCTCCCCTAAAAATGAATAATTAAAAAAGAAATGCGTTCCTTATGGATCATCTCTGAGGGGATTTGCCCGGAGAAACATTAGTACATCGCACATTGGACTTTTAATAAAAAAAATAAATAAACAAGTGTCTTCAGTTCCGCCTTTAGGCTACATATAATTTGTTGGTGAGCCAAACAAATGCCAAAAAAGAAGTGAACTGGCTATTCTTTATATTTACATTAAGTAATAATTGACCAAATTGTATAGAGTTAGCGCACAATCAATGAGTAGGCCTATAATGTTAGCCTTATGCAACTTTATGCCTTTTTGATATTCACTCACGCCAGCTGCACACTAGTCTTTCTGCAGTCATCCCATTTCCCTTTTCATCGTGTTTCACATCTCTACAATGGCTACAGACAATAAATGATCACGTGCTGCGGGTGACAGAGAGATGAACTGCTCATTTGGGCTGGAACACGTGCAGCCTCACGCCCTGTTCCTCGAAGATGCCCTGAAAGACACCCGTCTCCCACGCTCGATTCAGCCACGACACCGCGATTTTCCCTCACTGTCATCTCCAGCGAGCGAGCGAGCGCTCGTGGAGGGAGGGTTTGGCAACCGGGTGTCATGGAAACTGAGCCGTGTGACTTACGCCATTAGTCTCGAGTTGCGAGTCTTTTCTTTTCTTTGCCGCTCGCAAATAAGGAGCATCACGCACATGCCTCATAACACACCCCAAACAGCAGGTTCTACAGCTCAAAACTTAACCGGTGAACTTGATTATGTTTCTTAATTTCATTCACATGTAAAAGATAAGACGTGTGCATTTGTTTTTTTGTCCCACCCCATCCCCTCCTCTTTCCTTCTCTGACTGAAGTTGAATAACGCTACAGGTGCTGTTGTGTCTGTCGTTCTTCTTTCTGCTTTTCTCTCTTTACTCTTCTGCTTTAATTTATTGTGCTGTTTTCCTAAGGCTAATTTGCCACTGTTGCTGACAACATCATTTCCTTTTTGGTAATATTTATCCTTCTAATTTTTGTTAAGTTTAGTCACAGCTAATGTAACAAAACACACTGTGATAATTCCAGTATTAATAAAAGTTGTACTTAAAGTTTGTGTGAGGAGAAGAATATTCATTATAACCTATTTATTATTCATTATGCTAGGTTTTGTGAGGGGAAGTAATTAAGATAAAAAGTTGAAAATTTGGCAAAAAGGCAAAATTATAAGATCTAAAGTCATGGCATAAAAATCACAAATGTGAAAAAAGAGAAAGATTTATCAAAGCCTGACATTTTTTTCTTATATATGTGGCGGAAATGAACTACTACTAACAAAAGCAGGTTCTGTGCCACGTACTGATTAGATGTATTAAAATATTATAGCCTACCTGCAGATATTTGTTGTCCAGAACGGCATAAAAACCAATATGCATACATTTCAAGTTTTAAACGTTATAGCCTATATACTTCATGCACACAAAAATACAAAACAGAAAAGGGTGACGTTCAATTGAAAGTGCAAGAGGTTTGACAGATGGTATACAGCAAGGAAACCAGTGGTTCTCAATCCTCTCTATGAAGTACCCCCAGCACTGAACATTTTGTATGTCTCCCTATATCTGACACACCCACTTCAGGTCTTGCAGTCTCCACTAATGAGCTGATGAGTTGAATCAGGTGTGATAGATGAGGGAGACATACAAAATGTGCAGGGCTGGGGGTACTCAGACAGGTTTGAGAACCACTGTACATAAACAATCCCATTTAGAGTGTGCACATTTTATTTTAGACGCCAGGGGGCGCCAAAGTGTTTGTGACTAAATCTGTGACTGCAATTCTACATCCAGATAGAGAAAGTTGTTCTAATTCTTCAGGCTGTTTAGAATCTAAAAGTGAAACACAAATAAATCTCGTCCTTCACACCGAAAATAAGTAACTTGTGAAACCCTGTAATTAAAATCACAAGTCAGTCTCTAAGCACCAATTTTGTGCTCATCAGCTTTATAACGACTTTCAACAGTGAAGAGAAAACCGAGAGTAGCAATTCAGCCTCCAGCTATGTGTTATTTGCTGAGAAAGCCCCTGAATGTGTATAAAACAGTCCCAGCTGCACACTGGACTGCTCAGAGCTCAAGTGTGTATCTTCAATGATAGTCACTTCATCTATATAAAAAACGCAATATAAAACACGCAACTTAATTAGAACGTCTTCTGTGCTCGTCATCTCTCGTGTGTCCTTAAACCACACGAATGCAACTTTAATCAAAAATAAGTAGGCCACGATTAATTTAAGAAATCTTAACAATGATATTCAAGGGGACAATAAAGGGATTAGAGAGTGTAGAGGGAGAAAATAGTGTTTACTATGTGCTCATTCAGTTTACCATCCCACTCAGGGGCGCCGCTAGCAATTTTGGGCCCTATGAAAGAATATGAGGTTGGGCCCCCTACCGCACCAAACATACACTATATTGCCCAAAGTATTGGGACACCCCCTTCTAATGAACAGGTTTGACTACTTTAGTAATTTCCACGAGTACAAATCTTAATGTTTAAGCATATAATGCTATTCTAGGGAATTGT